TTCGGTCATTACTGCCCTTACTGAGAAAGCAATGTATCGAGCATTTGGTTTTGGCCTAGGCACGAGCATTTTCTTATTCCCAACTCTCTTCTTCGCCAGGCAAAGATCGGTTTTCGCAGCAGAGCGGAGGTTTAAACCCAATATAGCCGTCATTGGAGCGGGCATCGGAGGTTCGAGTTCATCGCACTTTCTTCGGGAGCTTTTTGGATCAGAGGCAACGATTGATGTATTTGAGGCTTCAGACAGGATCGGTGGACGTTTAGATACGATAGAAATTGCCGGAAAACGTTTTGAATCTGGAGGATCCATAATTCACCCCGATAATAAATATATGGGAGATTTCGTCAAACTTCTTGGTAAGTTCGTTGTTAAGCATTTGGTGATCGTTTCATATTAAGCTTATAGCATTTTTACTTTAAAATGTAAGTTGAAATTAGTATCCCAATCGTTTGAGCTGCAAAAAGCAACTAGATCACTCAATGTCGAAAGAATTTACATGAGTTTCTCGATTGCGTGACTGTTGTGAATTTTGTACTATGACATTCCATTTCTTATTTCCAACCCGCCCCCACTCCGTCCACTGGAACAGGCCCTGTCGAAAACGTTTCAATCAATCAATCAATCAATCTTTATTTTGCCACAATGGGATTCTACAAGAAGCTCTAATAAGTGTCTCTCTGGAGGAGGGGCTCTCAGTAAACCCTTCTGGGCTTTCAGGGAGAGCCCCTCTTTCAAAGGAACCGCTGAAATTTTGAAGCCATTGGATGTATACTGCAAAGGTTACTCATTACTCAGCGGATCCTCCCCACCCCCCAAAAAACCCTTATCTAGAGCTTCTGTGTAGGAGAGAGTTTTATCCTTGTGTACAGGTCTTTTGGAGAACACTTCTAGCGGGGATAAGTGAGGAATAACAACTGGTGGTTTTGAGCTTATTTTGTGCTAGGATTAAACTCAAACAATGCTGTGTGCAAAATCCATACTTTTATGTTTCCATTTCCTCTTGTTTATATAACAGGACTCAAGAAGCTCAAAAGCAGTGAACCAAGTGCCCTTCTTGGAATTTATAATGGCAAGGAATTTTCCTTTTATGGTAGCAGATGGAAACTTGTGAACTACATAAAGCTTATTTGGAGATATGGCTTATTTGACCTTTACACTATGGACAAATTTATCACAAACATGTTGAAGAACTTTTCAAATATTTATAAGCTGCAGGAAAACCAAGAGGCTTTTGAAAGTGTACCTGAAATGCTAAAAGCAATGGGTGGGGAAGAATTTTATGAATACACCCAGAAGACAACAAGGCAAACTTTGGAGAAGATTGGCCTCAACTCTTGCCTGATTGATAAGCTAGTGACAGCTGTCATGAGGGTCAATTATGGTCAGGATGTGACCTTGAATGGGTTTGCAGGTATGGAGGTTCATGTCTTTAATACTTGAGTGAACTGAATTGTAGATTTCTTTTTTAAAGAAAACCTTGCTAGACAAGTAATTATAGATATATGTAGATGTTGTTGTTGTGGTGGTGGTGGTTTTGTTTTCCTCATAACATGAAAAACCAAGGCAATTTGTGTTAAGAAATGTTTAATACATAATGGAAATCTGAGGAAAGCAATTCTGGTATTGCATTCAGTTAATGTAGGGTACTCCTGGACAAAGCAAGAATGTTGGAATGCCTCAGGGAGCTGACAGTTGGCATTTCACATTAGTTAATTAGCTGACTGTTGGATTACTTTATATGCAGCTGTTTTTATGTTACTTCATGTTATATGTTGTCTTTTATCTGTTATTCCTGATTTAATCTCATTGTTTTACTTTTGAAATCAGGGTCAGTTTCCCTGGCAGGTGCACAGGGTGGGCTTTGGTCAGTCGAAGGTGGAAACTGGAAAGTCTGCAAGGGTTTACTTTCCAAATCCAAAGCTACAGTGTACAAAAACACCAAAATCACAGAGGTAGTTAAAACAACTCAGAGCAGCACTGGACATCCAGTTTACTCCTTAAAAGGTGATGGGCAAATTCCAGACAAGCACTATGATGTTGTCATTGTAGCTGCCCCTTTCGAGATTCTTGATTACTTCTTTGATTGCAAAGATTGCAGAGAATGGCCGGTTCCAAAAGAACTGGGAAACTTCTGGCGCACGGTTGCTACTTTTGTGCATGGTCAAGTCAACATGACCCATTTTGGTTTTTCAACTGAGGATGACATACCAGAAATAATTGGCACTACAGAAACACCAGAAAACTACTTCAACTCCGTAGGTCTGCAAGACCCAGTGGAAAACAGGTCAAACACTGATCCTATGGACTTGCCTATTCGCAAAGTTTTCTCACGATCTGATCTAACTGCTTTACAGCTAAATGAGTTGTACAGCAATGTGGAACAAGTGAAAGTTGTCTCCTGGCTTGCATATCCCCACTATACCCCTCCTGAGAAGTTTTGGTCTTTTGTTTTGGATGATGGTGTGTTCTACGTCAATGCAATTGAACATTCTGCTAGTGCAATGGAGATGTCAGCAGTGAGTGCTAAGAATGCCGCCTTGTTGGCACATAAGTATTACACTGGTGGAAGTTCACCACAAGCACAAGATAATGCCACACCGTCAGATATCAAAAGTGAACTGTAATGCAAGTAGTTTTAAATTTTTAGACTCAATCAATACTGTGAGAACACTGGAAGCTGACTCAATAATTTGTCATTTTTAGGACGTGATTTTGTGATTTTGATATTCTAAGATGTTTCAGAAGGGTCTTTTAACCAAGTCACATGGCGATTCTTTGCTGAGAGCAGTCTGGAGTCTATAGTGTTAAGTACATTGAAGTCACTGATTAAAACAGAGGATTCAGAGGGACTAGGCTGGGATTCTGCAACTTTCTGGGGAGGGGGAATTCAGTCAGAGCACTGAATTCAGGATTCAGGCTTACCGGTTCAATCCTGACAGTGACTGGAGTGTTTCTGTTGAGCCCTTGGGTAAGAAACAAGTTTGCACTGTTCACCTCTTTTCCCAGAAGAGTATATGGTCACCAGTATAACCTGACCAAATACATGGGTGGTGGGGGGGGGGGGGGGGGG